ATCCCACCTCTCTAATAAGCAGTGTTTTGGCGAGTTGAAAAGGAACATGTACAGACTGATCCAAGTCCGTTGGAGACTTAGTAGCGAACAGACAAACCGCTACTGGCGGAAACTTAAAGACGATACTAGACTATCACAGTCGGCGCTCAAAGTGGAATCCAGTCTATGAGCAGAGTTTGGATTGATAGCCTAAGCTAAACGCGATTTGAACAGCTACTTTCTTGCAGTTCTTGGTTCGGTATTTTCAGAAAGACTATATAAAAATACGGTTGGGCGCATGCATCTCACAGAGGCGAAAACCACAGATTTCCCCTTTCTGCACCAATTTTAGCCCCTTTGTTTCTCTGGTTGCCCGAGTACATTACTCAGGTCACCCCCAGTCATTGCTATCGGGATCTATTCTGTGGGGCGTCGAAAGCTTAGAATATTAAAGGATGTACGGTTCGCGTCGGAATGTGGGCAATGCCCAGACGCAGATTTGGGCGTTCCCAAGGACCGTACTGGCACACACATAGTCAATATACGTAATCACCTGCAAGGCTTATAGAATAAGATTTGCAGAGGATGCGCAGCAGGACTCAATATCTATTTTTCCTCGTCTGGCCGTTTTTGTACATAAGTTGCGTTTGAACTTGTAAATCCACAGTCATGGTCTTCTCGTCGCTATAGATCGAGCTCTCACATTCATTTAGGTCGCCGCTCTTTAATCACTTTCGATTCGCTGTGATTCACGCTCCTTCACTGCCAACATGGTCGCCTCACCAATGACAGTGGTAGTCGGGCTCCTGGCCCCTACTATACAAGCTGCAACTCACCAGATGATCATTGGCACATTCACCACGTCATTTCTCTATACGGTCGAGTTTGACGACTCCGCCAATACCCTGACACTTTTGAAGAATACTACAGCCAACACAGCAAGCCAATGGCTTAGCCTCAGTCACGACAAAAAGCATCTCTACGGCAACACAGCTAGCGGCTCCATGGAAGTGGTCAGCTACACCATTGCCGACACCACAGGAACTGACATTGTGTACAACACCACCACGCCCGCCGGCTCCTGCGATGCGACAGCTGTGCATGTGGAAGCTCTCCCAGTAGCGCCCTACACCGTCTACGCCGTCACCTATGGCGACGTCTGCGGTGGTGTCGATGCGATCGACGCGACGGGTGTGGCTGTCGAATCTTTGCAGAATTACACTTACCCTGGCACCTCGGCGGGCACGTCCTCGCTGCACGGTCTGGCCTTCCACCCCGCCGGCGGCTACCTCTACACCGCCGACATGGGCGGTCGCGCCGTATGGTCACACGCCATCGATGTCTCGACGGGCGAAGTCACACTCGTCGCCAACGCTTCGTATTCTGGCGAGCCGCGCCATGTGACTACCCACCCGTCCGGCAAGTATGCCTATGCTATGACCGAAGACACAAGCGAGGTGCTGCAGCTACCCATCGACAACTCCACCGGTGCAGCTACCTTCGCGGGCGACGCGTGGAGTATTCTACCGTCCAACACGAGCGGAACGCACCGCGGCGAGACAGTCAGAGTTAGCGCGTCAGGCACCGTGTTATACGCCAGTACGCGGATAAATGCGTCCGATTCGGCGTCAGTGGGGGGTTATGTATCTGCTTTCACATTGGACAGCGAGGGCGCGGTGGTGAGCCAGGATTTCATCGTGGAGACGACCACTGGTGGAGGAGGGTCGACGGGAGCGTCGAACTATGTTGCCCCAAGTTTGTACGATGATGATCTATTTGCGATCCTGGATCATAGCACGGGCTTTGTGGAGATGTGGAAGCGGGATGCGGATGGAAAGGGAGCGAGTGTGGTGGCACATTTGGATCTGGCCGACGGTGGTGGCTGCTGCTCGAATGGTGTGTGGCTGTCGTAGTGGACTATATGAGAAGGATCTACTCTTTTCTCAGATTCGGCAGCGCTTGGGATCCTGTGGAGTTTGCTGGCGCATGAAACATCTTTAGACTGCAAAGGTTGAGAAGTCAAACACAAAATTAGACTATACTTTATGATCTCCTTGACTTTTTCTATCTACCTAGACTGTATGTGGCAGAACAGTGCATTCGGCATTTTCAGTGGATTCATCTTTCTTGTGATATCGAAGCGGGAAGGAAATAAAGAAGTTGATGTGTCAGGTTTTGAAGCTGTGATCGATGCCTATGTGCAGCTTAAAGGTGTGCTGGGCGAAGTACACATTGCCTCTCCAAACCTCTCCAGGATGACTTGTGAACATAGGAACATCACATGAATTGGGCAGCAGAAATCCTGAGCGTACATTTTGAGCAGAGGAAGGGTGGAGGGAGAGGGATATATTTGAATGGCCTCGGAGGGGCAAGGAAGCATTACATCAAGGGTGAATTCGAGAAAGGTTTCCTACCGGATCTTCAATAGTGGCCTTCGCACAAGAAGCATTGACAGAACGAAGCCCGTAGCTGCGGCACGAATTGTGAATGACGCACGTCTGCCAATCTTTATTCATCCGTATTTGTACATCGTCTTGACATCCTCTATTGTTTCGTCCCCAAGATGACAAAGTGGCAGAGGGCAACAGATTGATTTGCAGTGATCAACCAATAAGTATATAATTTTCCTGCAAGGTTTTCCATGCTTCCGAGATACTTCAATAGTTCCAATCTCCTTACCATTCAAGATCTTCGAAGCACGGTGCTGGTATAGCCATGATGTGAGGCCCCCCCCCCCCCCCCGACATCAATCATGGATCTATCACTCCAGGGCTGCTTGCGAATCTGAGGATGTTCGTACGTAAAGTGTAAACTTGTTTGGTAATCAATAGCCGAGGTCGCCTTCGCATAAGTGTACGGAGAGGCTGAACACATAGATAACCTAAGACCGTAAATATACCTACAAGTAGCTAGAGCAGAAAATTGGGATCATGTACATCCAGAGGCCGCCCGTTTACATACCAGACCGGGGCCCTCGCTGTAAGATAGAGAACTAAAACATGATCGCACTTTTTGAATGGTTCGTGCGAGGTCAAATCGGCACTATCATGTGGAGACAACGCAGTGTCACCTCCCACAAAGGGTGACGGGCATACGCCCATGGACAATTGCCTGGGTGCACCGAGATACGGCTTGCCATAGAATAGCGCCACAAGTATGTGTGTATGGTACACTGCAACTAACAAATTGCATAAAGTAATCCCTTAAATAATCTTATCATAAACATCAAACAATTCCTCCAAACTCTCTTTGCGGGAACAATTCGACCGTCCCGAATAATTTCCTTATTTCTGCCTCACTTGCACGATGCGTAAGAGTTTCATGAACTTCCCTCGTGTCATATCAAGTACATACGGCCGATATCAGCTCAGACTTGAGTGATTAAAGGAGGCTCGAAGCCGTTAGGTAGCTGCAGTGATACCTGACATATTTGACGATTCATTTTGGGGCAGAGAAATTGTCACAGTGATACAACTCAAAGATTTGTCTCAACTAATTACGCCGCTCATCATCGCTTCGGGCGACTTTGTCACCTTCTAAATCATGGCTCATACTACAAGTCGTGAATCACATACTAATTAGATGATCTGGCTATACTAGAATCGAGCTTGCTTAGATGTGGCGCCATGTCTAGTAGGAAGCTAGCAGTTCGACTATTGCCCACATCCATCTGTAGCTTATGGAGGAAGATCAGATTTTGATCTAGTAGATTAGGAGCCTGTTATGATGTGACCTATGGGCCACAATCATCCGATGTGCAGCCTGGGCATGTCTATGATAGGACCGCAGTTGAGGGCAGGTCTAACAACGGACACATAAATAGAGACGAGGTCTGCTGCCAAAAACAATGCCAAGTTGGTATTCACAACATACACAGAGCTCGAATACTCTATACACATCTTCAGAGACGCACCTAGGGTTTTGCCTGAGATCATCCAAAATGAAGTCGTTTGTTACTGTCCACGCACTGCTTGGGTTCGCAACTACAGCCCTCACCAGCGCAGTCCTAGATGGATCTCACTCGATCACTAGGGGGAACAACGAAATTGAAATAACCCTTTGCAACGATTTCCACGGTGGAGGCCCCTGTCAGACGTATAATGCCTCGCCCGGGTCTTGCCGTATGTGAATTTGGATCTGAGTGCATCACAATGAGCATAAGGTAGGCAACAGAAGCTGACAAGACACAGAGAATGTCGACGCGACCAATGCCGGATATATCTCATCGGTTAAAATTCCTAAAGACAACGACTATTGCATCTTCTACAAGTAAGCCACAGACCGAGACTTCTTACCCAGGGAGCTCCCATCCACGGTGGTAAGGTGTGAAAGCTAATTATCCATCTTTTGCTAGTGAGTACAACTGCGACACAGATGCCAAGCATATCACCGTCTATTATCCTGGGAACGTGGACTTAGCTGTGAATTACAACTTTGACAATCAGGTACTGAGTTATTCGTGCCAAACCGGCTATTAACAAGCTTCCCGGAGGATCTTTTGGTCAAGAAAAGAGCTAAAGGACTTCGAGCTGCGCATGGAAGCGGCTAGTGAGAGATATTGCGACAATTTTCGTTCTCTATGCTGCCCGGAGATGAGGTTGTCTTCACTCAGGGTTGGCATTGGCACTTTGACAGTGGAAATAATGTTATTCTGGTGACCGTAGCTTCTTCAACAGTACGCTAACGGTAGTTTTGTTGGAAAGCCATAACCCGAGCCTGGGAAGATGGAACTTTATGTTTGCAGAAATATATTCGTCCTCAGAGCTGACAATGAATGAAACTGTTCCACCTGATGCGTCTCTTCACTCTCGTTGTAAACATTTAAGACACCGGACTTGATGGATCAAAGAGAATTTGCTATTAATATTGATTCATACGCTCATTCAACGCCTGATAACACGTTTACGAGCCGATTCCTCAACTTTATCTTTCAGTATATGGAACTTCGTACTCGATGACTTATTTCAGTCTGCTTTGTGCATTATAGATGCACTAGTTTTGCGGTTTTGCATCGTTTGATATCCCTCGTGGCGCAATTGGCTAGCGCGTTCGACTGTTAATCAGACGATCGAGAGGTTGATGGTTCGAGCCCATCCGAGGGAGGATTTTTTTCCACTTTTTGTTTTTCTCAAACATTTCTGATTCTTTTAGAAGAAAATCAATGTATTCAGTCAAGCATGCCCATAGATACCCACAGTAGATGTACCTTTGTTTTTTTCCTACCCAGGTATCCCTGCCGCTCTCGGTGATCGTGGTGGCGCTCCCGAAACCGAGACAAGCCATCTTTTGCTCACAAGGATCGCCTATCGTGTTTGTTCTGGGACAAATATCTACAGATTTATTTGCCAGTCGGAAGCATTTTCCCTGCATTGTCATGTTTCCTCTTCGACAACATCCAGACAACCGTTGCAAAAGCCAGTCGACAAGAAGGACACCTCTGGCTGAAAATGCGCAACGATTATAGTCAAATGACGCTAAATGTGGTGGTTTTTCTTCGAAAGGCCGCTCGGTAAGGTGTGCATCGCCGCTGGATCACCCCCTTCAGGTACTGTGCTCGCCCAGATTTCCTATGGCAGTAGGACTATGGGAATCGCCGTCTCCTATTTCCAGAAGTGAAGACGGCCAGACATTGGATCTCGCTGCCCAGATGTGGGCGGATATCTTGGCGAATCTTGACAGCGTCCTTTGGACCGTATGTGTCTATTGATCATCGGATTCAATTATTCTCATAGGTAGGACACAATGGGCTCTAGCATGGCCCTTACCAACCCTTGAGATGCAAGGCAGTATGATCCAAGTGGAAGGTCCTCTTTCACACGTAAGTAGATCCGGGCTGCCGCATTCTGCAACTAACTAAACCTAAGCAGGATTGCTATGTACTTCAAGATCTGCGGTTAGCAGGCCGAATTGCGTAAAAATATGTAGTTTTGCATCAAAGTGGCCAGTTGGCAGGTGGCCGCGAGCCTCTTCCGATGCAGCCTACTTCAGTGGCATGCTGTGGCGATGCGGCTCAGCCTTGCCACTTCACTAGCTACCTAGGTAATGACGGATATCTATCCTAAGCATAAAATGAACGAGTCTCGTCGTTTCATTCTTCCGCCAGACTACCTAGGTATGTAATGTACGATAGAGCTTACCCAGTGCTGGCTTACAGGTGGGTGCTCATGGCTGCCGGAGCATTATTTCGTTCGTGCTCGCGGCTGGGAAAGCGGCTCTTCACCAGAGCCACGGTATGGTGAGAAATATAAGACGGTATATTAAGCAACATCTAAGAAGCAATAGGTGGAAGTGTGAGCCACACTTGTCGCAATCTTAAGCCTGCATACCTAGCTAGGTAGGTAGCCGGCTGGCAAATAGTGATAAGGGTGTAAAAGCCGTACAGGCCGCTGCGAGGCTGTCGATCTGGCTTGATGTGAGTTTAATCTAGTGTCATTCAGATGTCAACATGTATCGTGACTACAACTTAAATTGAATCAGAGGACGAACTCTCAGTCCGCGAAAATGATCATGTGTCTGATCCCACCCCTCTGGGCTTTTCTTCGTACTGACTGAAGTGAGTAATCACGCGGACTTCAGCCTATATGCACCCATGATGACCCTGTAATTCCAGGAAAATAACGATGTTCTCACCACATGTATCTTGTGCTGTTTCTTGATGGAATGCCAGCGGTCAGAATACTTGCTGGTCAAGCAGGTGCCCAGATGCCAAATAGGAGATGAAAACCTCAAACCTCAAGGCGAAAGACCATCAACATTCCAGAGGATGTATTTTTGCCCTGTGAGTCCATAACACCGGTGACATCTTTTTCCGGCAAGCTTTCATCACTATGGACACCATCACGGGCCATTGGAGCGTGTCGAAGGTTTTGCATGACTCTTGAAGTAGAAAAGGATCCATCTTAGCAAACAACAACCGCCCGAAATCTCCAAGAAATTCAAGACTTTGAATTTGCAGCCAGTGAGGATGTTCGATTTTAATGGCTCGAAAATTGAAGCTCAGAATGAATACCTACATCTGAGTCGTTATCAGAGGAGGAGGTAGACAGCTGCGTTTCTCAGTAAAGGCCCTGGAGTCGAAGAACACATCCTCCTGGATGAAAAGAAACAAATTTTTGATACAGGCCCAATAAAGCCCTATTCAATTATATTTTTAAACAAATAAGGCATACAACTAATTATCAAACGTGTTTCCCAACAACATACCTCCCAATTTCTCAGATCGATAACTACCTAGGTACCCACCTAGGTAGGAAGGTATGTTCAATGAAATCACCAAGTAGGCCTGGTATACGCTTCCCACTTTCATCAGCCTCCAACCATTTGTCCTACGCCCACAGTCTTAACCGCCCTGACAATGCACAATCTCACTTTTCTTCACTTATAGCGTGAGACGACAGTCGAACTTGTTTCTGCTTCTGGAGTATCCGTTGCCATCGAGCGAAAATTGATGGTGCAATTTAGAAATGTGAATAATTTTTTCACCGGTGGCATTCCCATTACTGCACGCACCTGGCTAGCTGCAATACTAACGTACTGTTCTGGTGCAAAGTGTTGTTGAAATCAACTTGGTACTCCAAGCCTTGATCCGTACAGTATGACAAGCAATGACCAAGGCAGCTATATTCCAATATTTGGTTAGCACACTGCAGTCATACATGAAAATGAACGAAAGGTCTCACAATAAAATCTGATAATTGGTTGAATGCGCAGGATCAAAGCGGTTGTTATATTCACAGCTGGACATGCACACAACCTGTTTCATACATAGGCATGAATGCAAGTGACAGAAATGTATCGTCAGCTAGGACTTACACATCTTGCAAAGTCGAGTGTCCATTGCGCTGGGCTAGGGACTCTCTCAACAAGCTCTCGGGTATTAACCTCCCGGTTAATGAGACTTTGTTCCTCGGTATCCGGGGCGGAGTTCTGCTCTGGCATGGTGTGACTGTGATAGATGTGTTAGCTCATTGCGGTCCAACGGTACAACTACGCAACAGCGGTGATCGGTTCCGGAACTCACTTTACATCCATTAGCTCGAACAATTGGTAATTTAGAACATAATTGTGTGATGAAGCACAGGAATGCCTACAAGTATAAGAGGTCCCTATCTCCCTATGTTATGGGGAGGTCCCATCATCAAGACATCACTCGCATACCCACTCACATTCAAACATTGCTGGACAATCATTCGCTGTGAAACTCGCAGTATCTTCTCACAATTTGGCTGTTGTTGACCTAATATCGAAATGATTTTCCTATGTACAGCAATTCTGATACCTGTATCTCATCTGGTCACGAAAGAACTAGTCCCAGCCGTGTTGTGGGTGGACTTAGCCTTCCTGTAAGCCCAACAAGGCGCAAGATCGGCCAGTGGCCTAACCTGGGCACGGTAGTCCAGCTGTGTGCCTTGTTTAATAATACAAGTAACGGTTGGCTCTAAATGTATCGCGAATTGACATGGTCTATTTCTCGGCACACAGCCCCGGGGTATCATTCTAAAGAACCTGACCCAACCAAGATCATCTGATGAGCACCTGTGCCACTGTGGCACATGGGCCCGAATTCCTGAACGCGCCGCTTTCCACCCTACCCGATGACAACGTTTTCTGGTCCTCGACTGACGCTTGGCAAAGCGAGGGCTTCACGCATAATACCACATTGCCGCCAGAGGTCCTCAGTGTGTCTCGGACGCTATACTATCCGGAGAATTCTTACTACGCATCTGTGTCGTTCAAGCAGACTATAGGATCGGTCAGGTTCGGATTTTCAGACACTCAACTTGAGAGATTGCGTGAGCAAACACGAATTGCGAACTTGAGCCAGCTTCAAGCCAGGTATTGGGATATCCCCGATTGGCCGATCAATTACCGGGACTACATTTGGGCTGTCCTGACGCGTGAAGGTGTTGGGATGCTCAGCATCGATGACATTGATGCGGTTAGCACGAGGGCATGGACTCCGGCGTACATGGTGACGGTGCGGTGGATTGTTGGCGTATCACTTTACCTAGGATTGTGTTTTACCATAGTCTCGGCTTGTCTGCTTCGACGCTCAAGAATCAATAGCAGAAATATTGGGGGAGAATAGCTCTGAGGAGCCTGGCTTTAGTGTTTGAAGAAATATCATTCTGTTGTATCATTTCGACTACTGTATACCTAGATGGCACGTTCATTATGGGAACAAATTGGCTGGTCTCCTGATTTGCAATGAATGAGCAGGTGATATTCAGCCTCGATTTTCTTTCGGGCGTGAGGTAAACAGTGTCGTTATAGGTAAGTATGCAGTACATGTACAAATACAAGCGAAGGAACAGGAACTTCGATCCTGCGTAAGCCTTCGACGATGACTGGTGGTCTGGATGGGCCCGGGGTCTGCACGTGTAGAAAGATTAATGAACCTGGGCAGGCACAAATTTGCCTGCCCCAAATACAAGTCGTGGTCTGCAGGAAGTAACTGAGAGGGTTGCATTTACAACATTGGTCTCCCCCGGCTGGCACCTAAATGAAGCACCCCAGCGGCACAGCCTCGAGTCCAGCTCATTATCATGTCAGCCTGATTGATATAAGAGCTGCTTCCTCATTCTTTGTTTCATTCAATTTTTGCCGCAATGAAACTTTCAAAGACCTAATCTTATAGCTGACTTGACCAGGTGCAGTCAAATATCATGGGAGACGCATATACAGATGTGCTCAAGTATAATGAGGCCCTTAAGACTTCCCTAGGGGCAAGAAATGCCCTACTGCAGCATATACGAGTACGTTGTTCTTTTCTACTTCAGTCACGTTTAAGTAGGCCTTTTTTGTTTTACATTTTGTGAATAAAGGTTGACCAAGAGCTTCACCCTTCAGGATCATCTACAGACCAAGGATTACACAGCTAGCCCTGACATAATCGGCGAATTCTCACAGTTGGTTACCGAAAATGTGGTGCCCATCGCAGATATGCAATCGCAGTTGGCCCGTATTATGGACATAGCAGATGAGGATGAGCTTCGGGCCAGATTCGCCGGCTTCCTCAATGCTCCTGTGGATTCAGAGAGCCAACAGAAGGCTGCCTTGTACGAAATACGCGATGCCCTGCTTATCCCGAGGGAAGACGATCC